AGGGGGGACGTCATAACGGCCACTGCACCAGCCAATCACCTGCCAGGAAGACAATCCCAATGCAGCGACTGCAGTGTATACACAACTAATACGCGCTTTTTCAAATCCTTTATATTAAGTTCGCTTGCTTGCTTGCGTGCTTGTGTGCTTGCTTGCTTGCTTACGACCGTGCAAATCTTTTGGTCGTTTTTTAACCCACTTCCCGTGATCCAATCGAGCTGACATTTTGCACACAGACTCGTTGTGCGAGACAATTAATGTTCGTGAAAAAAAATTCCAAAATTTTACACTGTTTAGGGAAAACAAATTAAATATTTAAGTACCAATTGCTTAATGCTGGCAGACAATCATCTGACCCATAGGTGGCAGCCATCTCAAGCCAGAGGACGAGAGGACTCTAGCCGCCACGCATATAAAGGATTTATAGTGAAAAACTTTGTTTTTACGGGTTATACTTATTTAAATCCTTTATATTAAGTTCACTTGCTTGCTTAGGACCGTGCAAATCTTTCGGTCGTTTTTTAACCCACTTCCCGTGATCCAATCGAGCTGACATTTTGCACACAGACTCGTTGTGCGTGACAATGCATTTTCGTGAAAGAAAAATTTCCAAAATTTTACACTGTTTAGGGAAATTTTTTTTTATATTTAATTACCAATTGTTTAATGCTGCCAGACAATCATCTGACCCATAGGTGGCAGCCATCTCAAGCCAGAGGACGAGAGGACTCTAGCCGCCCCGATGCCACGCATATAAAGGATTTATAGTGAAAAACTTTGTTTTTACGGATTAATTTTTATTTCACCAGGTGAGGTCCACTAAAGCTATTGAGCTCTTTTTCAGAAGCGACCTGGCCACAAATGATAGCCCAATGAAGGGACTCATCACGTACAAATTTATACCCAAAAACTCTCAACGGACGTGGAATCTAAATGCGGAAAAACCGGGGGTCCTTATAGTCATCTCCACGCCGTGTAATGTCATTAACACACACAGCTTCCGCTTACGCCAATGGCATGAATTTTAAACAATGCACATTTCATCTTGGCTTTCACGCCACCGCGGCAAAGAAAAGTTCACGACTTAAAAAACACGTCTTGAAAAGTTTTAACATAATTTCCTTTCGGCACATTTCCATGCTGAGACCTAAAGGCCATCCATCGCTTGCAGAGGTGTGAAGATGTGAGTGAGTGTGAGACGGAGAGAAGGTTGGTGGGGGGGGGGTGGTGGTGAGGAATTAGCAACACGCCACGTGGCACCGAACCTTATGATAGACGCCCACTGCGACCGCGTTGCATAACGTGGAGGTCACGTGGTGGCGAAAAGCACCTGCTGGGTTCGATTCATGACTGGGGCGCGTTTATTCTGCGGTGTTTCAGTGTTTCTCCCCCCCCGCCCCACAGTTTTGAAGAGGGTGAGTGTGTGGATGAGTGTGTGAGTGGCCGAGTGAGTGTGTGTGAATGAGTCTGTGAATGTGAGTGAGTGTGTGAATGAGTCTGTGAGTGTGTGTGTGAATGAGTGAGTGTGTGAATGAGTCTGTGAGTGTGTATGAATGAGTGAGTGTGTGAATGAGTGCGTGAGTGTCTGAGTGAGTGTGTGAATGAGTCTGTGAGTGTGAGTGAGAGTGTGTGAATGAGTCTGTGAGTATCTGAGTGAGTGTGTGTGAACGAGTGAGTGTGTGAATGAGTCTGTGAGTGTAAGTGAGAGTGTGAATGAGTCTGTGAGTGTGAGTGTGTGTGAATGAGTGCATGTGTGAATGAGTCTGTGAGTGTGAGTGAGTGTATGTGTGTGAATGAGTGAGTGTGTGAATGAGTCTGTGTATGTGAGTGTGTGAATGAGTCTGTGAGTGTGAATGAGTGAGTGTGTGAATGAGTCTGTGAGTGTGAGTGAGTGTGTGAATGAGTCTGTGAGCGTGAGTGAGTGAGTGTGTGTGAATGAGTGAGTTTGTGAATGAGTCTGTGTGAGTGAGTGTGTGTGAACGAGCGAGTGTGTGAATGAGTCTGTGAGTGTGAGTGAATGAGTGAGTGTGTGAATGAGTCTGTGAATGTGAGTGAGTGTGTGTGAATGAGTGCTTGTGTGAATGAGTGAGTGTTTGAATGAGTCTGTGAGTGTGAATGAGTGAGTGTGTGAATGAGTCTGTGAGTGTGACTGTGAATGAGTGAGTGTGTGAATGAGTGCGTGAGTGGCCGAGTGAGTGTGTGTGAACGAGTGAGTGTGTGAATGAGTGCGTGAGTGAGTGTGTGTGAATGAGTGAGTGTGTGAATGAGTGCGTGAGTGGCCGAGTGAGTGTGTGTGAACGAGTGAGTGTGTGAATGAGTGCGTGAGTGTGTGTGTGTGTGAATGACTCTGTGAGTGTGAGTGAGAGTGTGTGAATGAGTCTGTGAATGTGAGTGAGAGTGTGTGAATGAGTCTGTATGAGTGAGTGTGTGTTAATGAGTGCGTGAGTGGCCGAGTGAGTGTGTGTGAACGAGTGAGTGTGTGAATGAGTGCGTGAGTGTGAGTGTGTGTGTGAATGAGTCTGTGAGTGTGTGTGTGAATGAGTGAGTGTGTGTGAATGAGTATGTGAGTGTGAATGAGTCTGTGAGTGTGAGTGAGAGTGTGTGAATGAGTCTGTGAATGTGAGTGAGTGTGTGTGAATGAGTGAGTTTGTGAATAAGTATGTGAGTGTGAGTGAGTGTGTGAATGAGTCTGTGAGTGTGAGTGAGTGTGTGAATGAGTTTCTGTGAGTGTGAGTGAGTGTGTGAATGAGTTTCTGTGAGTGTGAGTGAGTGTGTGAATGAGTCTGTGAGTGTGAGCGAGTGTGTTAATGAGTCTGTGAGTGTGAGTGAGTGTGTGAATAAGTATGTGAGTGTGATTGAGTGTGTGAATGAGTCTGTGAGTGTGAGTGAGTAGTTGAGTGAGTCTGTGAGTGTGAGTGAGTAGTTGAGTGAGTTTCTGTGAGTGTGAGTGAGTGTGTGAATGAGACTGTGAGTGTGAGTGAGTGGTTGAGTGAGTCTGTGAGTGTGAGTGAGTGGTTGAGTGAGTTTCTGTGAGTGTGAGTGAGTGTGTGAATGAGTCTGTGAGTGTGAATGAGTGTGTGTGTGAATGAGTCTGTGAGTGTGAGTGAGTGTGTGAATGAGTCTGTGAGTGTGAATGAGTGTGTGTGTGAATGAGTCTGTGAGTGTGAGTGAGTGTGTGAATGAGTCTGTGAGTATGAGTGAGTGTGTGTGAATGAGTGAGTGTGTGAATGAGTCTGTGAGTGTGTGAGTGTGTGAATGAGTCTGTGAGTGTGAGTGAGTGTGTGAGTGAGTCTGTGAGTGTGAGTGAGTGTGTGAGTGAGTTTCTGTGAGTGTGAGTGAGTATGTGAATGAGTTTCTGTGAGTGTAAGTGAGTGTGTGTGTGAATGAGTCTGTGAGTGTGAGTGAGTGTGTGAATGAATCTGTGAGTGTGAATGAGTGTGTGTGTGAATGAGTCTGTGAGTGTGAGTGAGTGTGTGAATGAGTCTGTGAGTATGAGTGAGTGTGTGTGAATGAGTGAGTGTGTGAATGAGTTTGTGAGTGTGTGAGTGTGTGAATGAGTCTGTGAGTGTGAGTGAGTGTGTGAATGAGTCTGTGAGTGTGAGTGAGTGTGTGTGAATGAGTGAGTGTGTGAATGAGTCTGTGAGTGTGAGTGAGTGTGTGAATGAGTCTGTGAGTATGAGTGAGTGTGTGTGAACGAGTGAATGTGTGAATGAGTCTGTGTGTGTGAGTGTGTGAATGAGTCTGTGAGTGTGAGTGAGTGTGTGAATGAGTCTGTGAGTGTGAGTGAGTGTGTGAATGAGTTTCTGTGAGTGTGAGTGAGTGTGTGAATGAGTTTCTGTGAGTGTGAGTGAGTGTGTGAATGAGTCTGTGAGTGTGAATGAGTGTGTGTGTGAATGAGTCTGTGAGTGTGAGTGTGTGAATGAGTCTGTGAGTGTGAATGAGTGTGTGTGAACGAGTGAATGTGTGAATGAGTCTGGGAGTGTAAGTGAGTGTGTGAATGAGTCTGGGAGTGTAAGTGAGTGTGTGAATGAGTCTGTGAGTGTGAGTTAGTGGAGTTTGTATTCTCTCCCCCTGTTCAGCAAAGTGTGAGCGAGTTTGTGAGTGAGTGAGTTTGTGAATGAGTCTGTGAGTGTGATTGAGTGTGTGTGAATGAGTGAGTGTGTGAATTATTCTGTGAGTGTGAGTGAGTGGAGTTTGTATTTCTGCCCCTGTTCGGCGGCCGTCTGGAACGCTCCTTACTTAACGATATTAGGAAGCCACTCGGAGCTTTGTGGACTCCCCCCTCTGCATGGTGCGAAAGAAGTTCAAAGTGCATACGTAGACTCACACAGTCACTCACACAGTCACTCACCCACTCAAACAGTCACTCACCCACTCACACAGTCACTCACCCACTCACACAGTCACTCACCCACTCACACAGTCACTCACCCACTCACACAGTCACTCACCCACTCACACAGTCACTCACACAGTCACTTACACAGTCACTCACCCACTCACACAGTCATTCACCCACTCACATTGTCACTCACCCACTCACACAGTCACTCACCCACTCACACAGTCACTCACCCACTCACACAGTCACTCACCCACTCACACAGTCCACTCACACAGTCACTCACACAGTCACTCACCCACTCACATAGTCACTCACCCACTCACACAGTCACTCACCCACTCACACAGTCACTCACCCACTCACACAGTCACTCACACAGTCACTCACACAGTCACTCACCCACTCACATAGTCACTCACCCACTCACACAGTCACTCACCCACTCACACAGTCACTCACCCACTCACACAGTCACTCACACAGTCACTCACACAGTCACTCACCCACTCAAACAGTCACTCACCCACTCACACAGTCACTCACCCACTCACACAGTCACTCACACAGTCACTCACCCACTCAAACAGTCACTCACCCACTCACACAGTCACTCACCCACTCACACAGTCACTCACCCACTCACACAGTCACTCACCCACTCACAAGTCATTTCACCCCAGCTCACCCACTCACACAGTCGCTCACATCACACAGTCACTTCACACAGTCACTCACCCACTCACACACAGTCATTCACCCACTCACATTGTCACTCCCCCACTCACACAGTCACTCACCCACTCACACAGTCACTCACCCACTCACACAGTCACTCACCCACTCACACAGTCACTCACCCACTCACACAGTCACTCACCCACTCACACAGTCACTCACCCACTCACATTGTCACTCACCCACTCACACAGTTCACTCACCCACTCACACAGTCACTCACCCACTCAACAGTCACTTCACCCACTCACACAGTCACTCACCCACTCACACAGCACTCACCCACTCACACAGTCACTCACCCCATCACCAGTCACTCACCCACTCACACAGTCACTCACCACTCACACAGTCACTCACCGTCTCACGTAGTTACTCACCCACTCGCACAGTCCACGCACCCACTCACACAGTCACTCACCCACTCACACAGTCACTCACACACTCACACAGTCCCTCACCCACTCACACAGTCACTCCACAGTCACTCACACAGTCACTCCCCACTCACATAGTCACTCACCCACTCACACAGTCACTCACCCACTCACACAGTCACTCACCCACTCACACAGTCACTCACACAGTCACTCACACAGTCACTCACCCACTCACATAGTCACTCACCCACTCACACAGTCACTCACCCACTCACACAGTCACTCACCCACTCACACAGTCACTCACACAGTCACTCACACAGTCACTCACCCACTCAAACAGTCACTCACCCACTCACACAGTCACTCACCCACTCACACAGTCACTCACACAGTCACTCACCCACTCAAACAGTCACTCACCCACTCACACAGTCACTCACCCACTCACACAGTCACTCACCCACTCACACAGTCACTCACCCACTCACACAGTCATTCACCCACTCACACAGTCACTCACCCACTCACACAGTCACTCACACAGTCACCTTACACCAGTCACTCACCCCCACTCACACAGTCATTCACCACCACATTGTCACTCACCCACTCACACAGTCACTCACCCCACTCACACAGTCCTACCTCACCACTCACACAGTCACTCACCCACTCACACAGTCACTCACCCACTCACACAGTCACTCACCCACTCACACAGTCACTCACCCACTCACATTGTCACTCACCCACTCACACAGTCACTCACCCACTCACACAGTCACTCACCCACTCACACAGTCACTCACCCACTCACACAGTCACTCACCCACTCACACAGTCACTCACCCACTCACACAGTCACTCACCCACTCACACAGTCACTCCCCACCTCACACAGTCACTCCACCCACTCACACAGTCACTCACCGTCTCACGTAGTTACTCACCCACTCGCACAGTCACTCACCCACTCACACAGTCACTCACCCACTCACACAGTCACTCACCCACTCCACACAGTCACTCACCCACTCACACAGTCACTCACACAGTCACTCACACAGTCACTCACCCACTCACATAGTCACTCACCCACTCACACAGTCACTCACCCACTCACACAGTCACTCACCCACTCACACAGTCACTCACACAGTCACTCACACAGTCACTCACCCACTCAAACAGTCACTCACCCACTCACACAGTCACTCACCCACTCACACAGTCACTCACACAGTCACTCAGTCACTCACCCACTCACACAGTCACTCACCCACTCACACAGTCACTCACCCACTCACACAGTCACTCACCCACTCACACAGTCACTCACCCACTCACACAGTCACTCACCGTCTCACGTAGTTACTCACCCACTCGCACAGTCACTCACCCACTCACACAGTCACTCACCCACTCACACAGTCACTCACCCACTCACACAGTCACTCACCCACTCACACAGTCACTCACACAGTCACTCACAGTCACACACCCACTCACATAGTCACTCACCCACTCACACAGTCACTCACCCACTCACACATTCACTCACCCACTCACACAGTCACTCACACAGTCACTCACACAGTCACTCACCCACTCAAACAGTCACTCACCCACTCACACAGTCACTCACCCACTCACACAGTCACTCACACAGTCACTCACCCACTCAAACAGTCACTCACCCACTCACACAGTCACTCACCCACTCACACAGTCACTCACCCACTCACACAGTCACTCACCCACTCACACAGTCACTCACCCACTCACACAGTCACTCACCCACTCACACAGTCACTCACACAGTCACTCACACAGTCACTCACCCACTCACATAGTCACTCACCCACTCACACAGTCACTCACCCACTCACACAGTCACTCACCCACTCACACAGTCACTCACACAGTCACTCACACAGTCACTCACCCACTCAAACAGTCACTCACCCACTCACACAGTCACTCACCCACTCACACAGTCACTCACACAGTCACTCACCCACTCACACAGTCACTCACCCACTCACACAGTCACTCACCCACTCACACAGTCACTCACCCACTCACACAGTCATTCACCCACTCACACAGTCACTCACCCACTCACACAGTCACTCACACAGTCACTTACACAGTCACTCACCCACTCACACAGTCATTCACCCACTCACATGTCACTCACCCACTCACACAGTCACTCCCCACTACACAGTCACTCACCCACTCACACAGTCACTCACCCACTCACACAGTCACTCACCCACTCACACAGTCACTCACCCACTCACACAGTCACTCACCCA